AAACACTATTGTCTGCGCCTTAACGAATAGTTACTCTTGCACCTCTTTGCTGTACTGGTTCAGACCAATACAGCAGACTTTGTTGTGAACGGGAAGAGTTACACCAAACTCAAACAACTGGGCAAAGGCGGCAGTTCGGTTGTGTATCTAGTTATTGGGCCAAACAGGACAATTCGAGCCCTAAAAATGGTAAAATTGGACGGGGTGGATGAGCAAACCATCAAGAGCTACCTGTCTGAAATCGATCTACTGCGCACACTTCAGGTAGGGTCAAATGTATACTGAAATATAGAAAAGCATATGTATGTATATATGTAATACGTTATAAGTATGCATGTACGTAGTTCTTTGTACGATCGAAAAGTCTCGATGATTGAAACGTTTGAGGTGTGCCCAGTTGTCAAGTAGATGGGACTGTCGCATTGGTGCTTTGGGCTAGGACTTATATACAGTAGGGGCCCAAATCCATCCATCAAATATACTTTAAACCCATTTTTGAAGCGGTTGAGGGGAAAGGTAGTCCGAGACAACCCGTGTCATCTAGTTCCCGAATCCAATTTCTCAACTCGCTTACCTCAACTTGCTTCTGGTCACGCAGGGATGTGATAACATAATCCGGCTGTACGATTCCGAGGTGACTCCCAGATATCTATTTATAATCATGGAGAATGGCGAGATTGACCTGGCGCACATGCTTAGGAAGTACAAGGGTGGCAAGTTCGACGATGAGAACTATCTCAGGCTATACTGGCAGCAGGTAGGTAAAGCGGCTCGAGCTGAAGGTGGCTTAAGCATAGTGTGGTAGGGTATATGTTGAACTTAAGAGATATATGGAGAGGGTCATCATACTTATAAATATAGTTAGCCCGAAAGTTCTTCCAGGGATCACCAGACAATAGGGAGGTAAAATGGCACAGACTGGTGGGTGATCAAGCATAGTGTGGTAGGGTATATGGCAGCGTAAGAGATATGGGGATAAGGTCATTATATACTTAAACACGGTTTGCTGGAAAGCTGTTAGAGGTGTTAATGGGATTAGGTAGGTACAGTGACCGACTTTGGTGGGAGATGAAGCGTAGTTTAGTAAGATAGATGCTAAATTTAAGGATATATTAGACGGTTCCTACACAACCATCAATGTATTTAGTCTTACCCGAGCACTGTACTAGGCTTCACTTGAGATGAGGCCAAGACTGTCCGGTTACAGAACGATCGAGCTATCTAGATGATATGTCAAAGGATATGCGATGTGGTTTCTATGTTCTGATATATGAAACCAGACCGTAGCTTTCCTTTGCACTTCTATATCATCGGAACACAAGATTCAGTGGGTGTGCAGTGCTTAAAACCCCCTCTTCTTAACCGCATACTACCGAGCAGACTATGCCATACCTCATTACTCAAAACTCTCTTCTTCATACTAAACCACACTGCTTGTTTGTTCCACACTACAGTTCTTTTTTCCTGCATACTACATTGCTGATTCATACTACACCACATCACTCAGTAGTACTATACAACATTGATTGTTCGTAGACCACCATCTGACGTCCACGCTTGCTACCTACCTGCTGCAGATGTTGGAGGCGGTGCAGAGCATACACAACCAACGCATCATCCATGGCGATCTCAAGCCCGCCAATTTTCTAGTGGTCGAGGGCCGTTTAAAACTTATCGACTTCGGCATTGCAAAGGTAAGGTAAAATGCATGAAAGTGGTACAAATATTTAAAAAAAAGGGTCTATAAATAGATGTGTATCAGAATTTGTATGGCTGGTAGGGTTAGGTTGGTAGGGTTAGGCTGGTAGGTTTAGAACCGTATATCGCCGATTGATTTGGGGTCAAGGCTCGGCGCGGCGTCCGCTGCGCTGCTTGTGTTCATGGTTGTTCGCTGGATTAGACTGTCTCTGCACAGCTGTGCGAGTGTGCTAATTATTCGTTATATATACATTTTCGTATACTAGTTATATCTCACGGACGCTCTTGATGTATATCCCTACTTTCAACCACTCCTACATACGTGTATATCCTTTTATATAGAAGTATGTATCTCCCTGTATGTACGTATGCATACATACATACATATATATATATATATATACA